GGCTCCTGTTGTTGTTGCTTCGGCTACTGTTGCTGCTGTTGCTGCTGCTGCTGCTGCTGCTGCTGCTGTTGCTGTGGCTTCTTATGCTGTTCATGCTTCTGCTACTGTCACTCATGCTGCTGCTGTTGCTACTGTTGCAGCTGCTGCTGTTTCTCTAGTTATCGTTACTGCCGTTACCGTTATTGCTGCTGCCGTTACTGTTGCTGCCACTACTGTTGCTGTCACTCTGAGCACCCCAAGAACGCCTCCAATACACTCGTTCCATACCAGTTGCCACGCTACCACGAGGAGCGTGCCCTCGCCTGCCTCCAGTCCTCTACCCTGGGACTCCCTGATGTAAACATGTTCGAGTAGTGGACAGTTATCTCACCAAAAAGGTCGGAACAACCTTCAGAAACTTAAACAAGGAGGCTTTTAGATAACTGTATACCACGTATGTGAAGCCAGACACTTAGAGCAGCTAAATGATGTCTCAAGATGGCAGCAAGGTTTTAGCTAAGAAAAAATCATGCTTGGCAAAGTTATTGGAGTTCTACAATAAGAACTTCTACAATATTCATGTACAATATTTGTACCTGAATACAAGAAAACAAGAGTATGATGGGGGCAGACTGCATATTCCTCGACTGACAGAAAGCGTTTGATACTGTCAGTACACAAGAGACTCCTACTGAAGCTACAGAAGCAGGCTAGTGTGTAGAGGATAGTCCAAAGGTGGGAGAGAGAGAGTACCTCTCAGGCAGGAAACAAGGGGTTATAGTGAGAGCGGAGATTTTTAGTGAACAGAGAGATATTACGAGTGGAGTACCACAAGGGGTCAGTTCTAGGACCAGTCCTAGAGTATGGAGCCCCATCGCGAAACCCCAACCTGAAAAATCACATAATGGAACTTGAATAGGAAGAGAGGTATTGAAAAACTGAAACTAACGTTGCTAAATAGAAGAAGACAGAGAGAGAGGAGTCTTGATAGAGACATGTAAAATACTTTACATGAATTGAGGGACTGATTTGTGGAAAAAAGAGGAAATAGTCACAACGATTACCAATAGAACAAGAGGACATTTAAGTATTAATTTGTGTGTTAGAATAGTAGAAAAATGAACTTAACTAAACGAGCAGAATGTAGAAGGCGACTCATGTCATAATGTCAAAGGTAGATATGATAGAAAGATACGTCGAGAGTCATTGGAGAGGCTGGGAGAGGCTGGGAGAGGCTAGGACACAATAGGCAGCTGGATCACCACCACAAACAAACCGCTGAGGAAAGCCACTTCCGACCCACTGAAGTAGCTGCGTCAGATGACCCTGTGACACTGAGCTCCGCACCCCGCCCTCACAACCCAGTCCCCGCCCAGCCCCCGCCCAGGGCCGCCCAGCCCCCGCCCAGCCCCCGCCCAGGGCCGCCCAGGGCCGCCCTGCAGTGCCCCGCCCATCCCACCCAGTTCCGTTCAGTCCCGCCCACTTTCGTCAAGTCCCACCCAGCCCCCGTCCAGTCCCGCCCTCCAGTGCCCCGCCCATCCTACCCATTTCCGTTCAGTTCCGCCCAGTCCCACCCATCCCCATGCAGTCCCGCCCTGCAGTGCTCCGCCCATCCCACCCAGTTCCGTTCAGTCCCGCCCACTTTCGTCAAGTCCCACCCAGCCCCCGTCCAGTCCCGCCCTGCAGTGCCTCGCCCAGTCCCGCCCAGTCCCGCCCAGCCCCGGCCGTCACACCCGGCTCCTAGCCTCACCCATCAACACACCCTACGCCACCTATCCACTACACATACAAGATGACAATAATGGTTTTCAGTGTAACTATCGATTCCAACTTGAAATTGGTAGTTAGTGCTAATAATTAGTTGATGGTTCCAACTATTCTAGACCATTTGGTAAATCACAGTGGTCTGCGTCCTCGGTTCACAACCGAGGGACTCGCAGTTTCAATCCCAGGGCATGACAGAAACGGTTGGGTACGTTTCCTTTCGCCGGACGTATCTGTTCACCCAGCAGTTTTCTCTAACGAAAAGGATAATATATGCCAGGAAAGCAAAATAAATGACATAATATATATAAGAAATTAATAATTAAAGAAACTGATGAAGGTCTATTGGTCCCATAGATATTTTTTTAATAATTTTTGTATTTTCTGGTCAATATTTTACATGTTTTTGGTCTATCATGAAGGGAATATATATTGTATTTACATGACCAAAATCACATGTATTTTTATCATACAAAAACCATTTGAAAATCTGCTTTCAATAAATACGTGATAAAACGTACTAATATATATATATATATATATATATATATATATATATATATATATATATATATATATATATATATATATATATATATATATATATATATATATATATAGATAGTTAATTAGAAGCGTCTTATGAGACGGCAAAGGCAACAGCGGTTGTTACTGAACAATTTATATGTTGCAGAGGTGAAGTCATTGTTGCAGACGATAGGCAAAGGCTGCGTTAATGATTCAGTTTAGTGCAGGTGCAGTTTACATTGCAAGTTCACACGCGATGGTAAACCAAACATTGCAAGTTACTTTTCAGGACGAAAATATATATATACATAATTTTTATATAAGTAGAGATCTCGAATTTTTATGATAAGTGTTATTTATTCTCGTACACAGGTTTTAAAAATATATTATTTGATCTTATTAAAAAACAATTTTAAGAAGATATTTTTTTGCGCATTGGATTGAAAAAATATTAGTTAAATTTTTGTGACGGTTTAAAAACTGTAATGTTGTTAATGTTGTTTATAGTGTATTTGTTTTTTATTCTTTTTAGCAGTTTTGTGGTAATTAGGCGTTATTTTTCTGTGCATTGTTTTATCGTACTAGCAATTGTTTTGTTTGTACACACCTGGTGAGTGTCGAAATGCCATATATATAGTGTCATACACCGCATATAGTGTCAAGCACCACATATACAGTGTCAAGCACCACATATACAGTGTCAAGCACCACATATACAGTGTCAAGCACCACATATACAGTGTCAAATACCACATATACAGTGTCAAATACCACATATACAGTGTCAAACACCACATACAGTGTCAAGCACCACATATACAGTGTCAAACACCACATATACAGTGTCAAGCACCACATATACAGTGTCAAGCACCACATATACTGTGTCAAGCACCACATATACAGTGTCAAATACCACATATACAGTGTCAAATACCACATATACAGTGTCAAACACCACATACAGTGTCAAGCACCACATATACAGTGTCAAGCACCACATATACTGTGTCAAACACCACATATACAGTGTCAAATACCACATATACAGTGTCAAACACCACATATACAGTATCAAGCACCACATATACAGTATCAAGCACCACATATACTGTGTCAAACACCACATATACAGTGTCAAGCACCACATATAGTGTCAAACACCACATATACAGTATCAAGCACCACATATACAGTGTCAAACACCACATACAGTGTCAAGCACCACATATACAGTATCAAGCACCACATATACAGTGTCAAGCACCACATATAGTGTCAAGCACCACATATAGAGTATCAAGCACCACATATACAGTGTCAAACACCACATACAGTATCAAGCACCACATATACAGTGTCAAGCACCACATATAGTGTCAAGCACCACATACAGTGTCAAGCACCACATATACAGTGTCAAGCACCACATATAGTGTCAAGCACCACATATACAGTATCAAGCACCACATATACAGTGTCAAACACCACATACAGTATCAAGCACCACATATACAGTGTCAAGCACCACATATACAGTGTCAAGCACCACATATAGTGTCAAACACCACACACGGTTTCAAACACCACAAACACAGTATCAAAAACCACACATGTTATCAAACACTCCAACACTGCACCGGTGTCAAACCCCACAGCAGTTAAAACAAAACACAAACGCATCTAGTAAAACAAAAGAAACACTGTGTCAAACACCACATATACAGTGTCAAGCACCACATATAGTGTCAAACACCACATTGGTAAAGACTGCTAAACGAGGCATCAAAACTCAAACACCATATCAGAAATGTTCAAACAAATTACCTTAAATTAATTAATATGATTATTTAAATTATTAAATATACATTAATTACCTGTAATAACTAAAGTAAATATGTAATAACTAAATAAATATATAAACACCTAAGCAAAAACATAATTATTAATGAACTAGTTATTATAAATAAATGTGAACAAAATGACATATTCGCTCCTGCATTTCAATAATATGCAGGTGTGTGCAACATATGTGCAACAAGCACATATGTTGATCCTGGTGAGTGACAAGCCAAACTTGTCTTGGCTTAACCTAAGCTGCCCTACCTTGAGGCTACCTTGAGGTGCTTCCGGGGCTTAGTGTCCCCGCGGCCCGGTCGTCGACTAGGCCTCCTGATCTAACTTAAGCTGTATTGATCTAACCTAAGCTGCCCTGATCTACTCTAAGCAGCCCAGGCCTAACCTAAGCTGCCCTGGCCTAATCTAAGCTGCCCTGGCCTAACTTAAGCTGCCCTATCCTAACCTAAGCTGCCCTGGCCTAACCTAAGCTGCCCTGATCTAACCTAAGCTGCCCTGGCCTAACCTAAGTTGCCCTGACCTAACCTAACCTAACTTAATCTAACCTAACCACAGCATAACCTACTACAGCATAAACTACCATATATATATATATATATATATATATATATATATATATATATATATATATATATATATATATATATATATATATATATATTGATCGTAGCTTCAGAAAACACTACTGGATTATTGTTAAACTTTGCCTCTACATATTGAAATAGCGAAAGATATTTAAACTTTGATTCCAAAATGCATATTAATGTCACCCAGTGTGTCATATATTTTTGTTTAACTTTGTAAGTAAATAGATGGTGGCTTCACTCTCCAGATTTATTGGGAGGGGGGGAGGGTGTATGTGGGGACCCCCACTATATTGGTGGCCGAGGGTGGCCGAGGGTGGGCGGAGGGTGGCCGAGGGTGGGCGAGGGTGGCCGAGGGTGGCCGAGGGTGGCCGAGGGTGGCCGAGGGTGGCCGAGGGTGGCCGAGGGTGGGCGGAGGGTGGCCGAGGGTGGCCGAGGGTGGCCGAGGGTGGCCGAGGGTGGGCGGAGGGTGGGCGGAGGGTGGCCTAGGGTGGCCGAGGGTGGCCGAGGGTGGGCGAGGGTGGCCGAGGGTGTACGAGGAAGGGAGAGAGAGACAGAGAGGGACTTAACCAGACCTTCAACAGAGAACTTCACCAGCAGAACATCATGAAGCCCAACCGCTTCTCCTGACCCCCGCCGGTTGTAAACTATAGAGTTGGAAGTCATCTATGGTACATTTGGCAAGCGTGAGATAGATGAGACAGGAGGAAGGTCAGGTACTTATGGAGACATCCACCGGGGGTGGATGTATCCATCAGGATACATCGGGGATCGAACACTGACTTTGCAGGCAGGGAGGCCTATGCTCTACCGAGCAGTGCAAGTGACTGGACTACACAGGAGGGTGAAACTACTGACCCCTCCCTAGGAGGTAACTCCACAACAGTTACCTGACTCCCGGGTACCTGTTTACTGCTAGGTGGACAGAAGTATGAGGTGAAATGATCCGTGACAAAACCATTTCTATCCCGCCTGCGAATCGAACCCGGGATACCCGATTGTGAGTCGAAAGCGAAGCCGCCACGTGGAATTTTTTCACGTCATCTGACAGTGTACAAATGCCGCTCTTTTTAGTGCCCTTAAGAGCATCGTAATATAGACGTTTATTAGAGATAGCGTCGTTACCCTCGATAGGCTGGTTAGGTTATCCAGGTTCGTACGCTTCCGGTACGAACCTGTACAAAACCACTTCCGGGGGTCGAACCCTCAGAACGGACCGGTTTATGAACCTTCACGCCAGCCTGAAAAAAGCCTTTGCTTAGCCTTAAAGCTCGCGCATTTCACTCACGAAAACTTAATGTCACGGAGCTTAAGAAGAAGCTTTAAGCTTAAGTGCACAAAAGCTTCCTAAGCGTTTGTACACTTAAGCCATTGAAAACGCCACATTTAATATATTTTAAAACGTGTACACTTAGAGCACTGAAATAGGTGTATTTAATATATTTCTCACCTGTACTCGGGCCACGGTACAGTAAATACTTCATATAACGAACATTTACATGCATTGGGATGCCACTGTACAAGAAATATTTAATAAACATCAAACTCCCTTACATGATTAATGGCCAGGCACGTTTTCTTTCACCTAATATTACTATTCACCTAGCAATAGTAAAGTTATTATTATTAGTAAAATCATTGGTGTTAGATATTGATCGTTCAATATTATTTTCAAGCATTATATGAATGTGTGATTAGTCAATTGATTATATTAAAGTACTAATCGCATCTCTGTAGTTGTTGTATTTTGTTTTGTATTTGCTGAATCTTATTGTAGTTTGCTGTATCTTATTTCTTCATTTCCGTACGTGTTTCAGTCGTAAATTTTATATATATATATATCTCTAAATACTGCCTGACAGTCATTTGGATTCGTTTGTCTCGAATCAGCTTCAAGTGATTCATTCAGTGTTTAATATAAGGATTAGAAAATGTTTATAATGTTGATTTTGTGGTGGTTACTAATACACAAATTTCTCAATAGATTTTCATAGATTTTCCACACGTGTTAATTTTCCTCATCTATTACATATATATTTTTTCTTAATAAGATCTTAATGATATTGAAAAAATGTATGATTAAAATTGACGACGATTTTTTTTATTTTTTTCAAAATTAAAACACACTTTATCTGTATAAAAAGATAATTACATGAATTTACCTGAGGGTCAATATATCTAGTGGCCTCCCCGTGGACAAGAAGAAAGATGCCTATCCCCCTAACCCCCACCCCCCTAACCCTCACCCACCTAACCCTCACCCCCCCATCCCCCCACCCCCCTAACCCCCACCCCCATCCCCCCACGGATGCAAGCATCTATTGTGAATGCTTTCAGCTCCTTTTATTAAATTTCCATTAACATAATTTAGCAGTAATGTGCAATCTCCACAATGTTAACACAGTCTCGTAAAGCCCTTAACATCTCTCTCGAGGTCTTAACATCATTAATAAATAGGATACTTAACCTTGCAATTAGTAATTTAACTTCACTCCTTTGCTTCTGAACTTTTAGGAAACATTTTTAACATTTGTGTAATCTGCTTCAGACTTCAGCAACAGTTCGGTATATCACTGTTCCTTTTCATCACACCTTGTCCTTATATCCCAGCTCCGTGTCCTCATATCCCAGCTCCGTGCCCTTATATCCCAGCTCCGTGTCCCCATATCCCAGCTTCGTGTCCTCATATCCCAGCTCCGTGCCCTCATATCCCAGCTCCGTGCTCTCATATCCCAGCTCCATGCCTTCATATCCTAGCTTCGTGTCCTCATATCCCAGCTCCGTGCCCTCATATCCCAGCTCCGTGCCCTCATATCCTAGCTTCGTGTCCTCATATCCCAGCTCCGTGCCCTCATATCCTAGCTTCGTGTCCTCATATCCCAGCTCCGTGCCCTCATATCCTAGCTTCGTGTCCTCATATCCCAGCTCCGTGCCCTCATATCCTAGCTTCGTGTCCTCATATCCCAGCTCCGTGCCCTCATATCCTAGCTTCGTGTCCTCATATCCCAGCTCCGTGCCCTCATATCCCAGCTCCGTACCCTCATATCCCAGCTTCGTGTTCTCATATCCCAGCTACGTCTCCTCATATCCCAGCTTCGTGTCCTCATATCCCAGCTTCGTGTCCTCATATCCCAGCTTCGTGTCCTCATATCCTAGCTTCGTGTCCTCATATCCCAGATCCATGCCCTCATATCCCAGCTCCGTGTCCCCATATCCCAGCTACGTGTCCTTATATCCCATCTTCGTGTCCTCATATCTCAACTCCGTGTCCTTATATCCTAGCTTCGTGTTCTCATATATTTTTCAATGTCTATATTGCCATGACAGCTTAGCACATTCTCGTGAACGAAGTTCTTAATCTATTTCTTATCCCTTTCAAGTGTTATATAGTTATGGTGATAGCACTTTGACCCTATAATTACTCTGCCTCTTGCTGGGTACTTCTAACATAATGTTCCTAGCGATTAGTGTACATAGTTTCAATATTAACGTGAATTAACCTGACTCTTCTAACTTGTTCACTTTTGTAGTATATATATTTATCATTTTTTTAAACATATTCGAATACTCCTTTTATATCACGTGATTTAACACAATTTAATATTATTTATTCACTCGAGATTTCCACAATTTAACATAATTGTTCACTGAAGATTTAACACACTTCAGTATCGTACGATGTTATTTAATGTTTTCTAGTTATTTAATGCTGTTTACATCAGCATTCTTGTTGATATATTACCCTGAATATCAGAAGATTTATGTGTTAAATTGTAATATTAACATTAACTCTAGATATGGTTTTACACGAATCTTTAAGTTTTCAACATTAACATTTCATCTTTTCCTGTTGATTTATCAATCGACAGAAATTATTGAGACCGATGCACGGAAAACATGAATACTTAGGTGCTATAATTTCGACTTAATACGTCGTATTTTGAACGGATTGGTCGATTACGTTTAAAAAGGCGAAGTGATGATCAGGGGGGGGGGGGGAGGGGGGAATTTAAAGGCTTCAGCCAAGTCATTATCTCGTCTATTATTTCAAATGTATTTTTTTTAACCCAATTCAATAGACTTTAATTTAACAATTCACGTAACTATGAATTTAGCAATTCATCGTTACGTTGATCTGTTCTTGAGGTTATCTTGAGATGATTTCGGGGCTTTAGTGTCCCCGCGGCCCGGTCCTCGACCAGGCCTCCACCCCCAGGAAGCAGCCCGTGACAGCTGACTAACACCCAGGTACCTATTTTACTGCTAGGTAACAGGGGCATAGGGTGAAAGAAACTTTGCCCATTGTTTCTCATCGGCGCCTGGGATCGAACCCAGGACCACAGGATCACAAGTCCAGTGTGCTGATCGCTCGGCCGACCGGCTATTGTTTAGAGAGAGACGGTGGCCGTGCGACCCCCCTTTTGTTTTTTTAATCACTTTTATGGGTCAATTGAGAGTCATTTTTGGAGTCAGGTGTGTGTGTGTGTGTGATCTTTGGAGTCAGATGTTTGTCATTTTACGCCACGTGTATCTTACTCTTAATTACGTGCGTGTGTGTTATTTTGGAGTCAGATGTGGCTCACTTTTAATTATTTGTGACTCATTAATTTTGGAGTCACGTATATCTCATTATGAGCCAAATGTGTGTCTAAACGAGCCATGTATGATGCACCATGAATCGAATGTTTCTCATTGCGAGACAGAGGCGGCTGATTCTGAGACACATCTGTCTTATAATGAAATCACATGTGTAAGCCATATATGTCTCATTACGGTCGAGTTAAGTCACTGTTTTTTTTAACTCTAAATCAGATGTTTCTCATCCTCATTCAGTTTTATCGCTCTTAACGCAATCAAACAATATCCCGGTGTCAGATTATAATGAGAAACAGTTTGATGGATTAAATCTATCTCATTTTTTGTGTGCATTTTAGTAATAAACTATTTCGTTGACTTTGAATATAATTTAACGCGTGTGTGTTGATATCATATGACACATGCTGACAGTTTTGTGACAGGTGTGTTGGGGAGTTTTTTGACAGGTGTGGACAAGTTTGTTGGAGCATTTAAACAGGTATGGTAGAGAGGGCGACACATGTGTGTAGGACCGAGAGAGGGCGGCACAGGTGTGGCCGAGAGAGGGCGACACATGTGGAGCAGAGATGCCAATACAGGTGTGGCAGAGATGGAGGCTCAGGTGTGGGAAGGCTCAGGTTATACAGCCAAATTGCTATAGCGGATTTTAAACCGATTAATTAATGATTCGTTTTTATTTTTTTGGTATCAGTGTACCTTCGGGTCTGTGCACCGTTAATTTATTGTACCTTCTGATTTGTGCATCACTTGTACCATTAGGTTCATGCACCACTGTGCTGTTGTACCGTTGGGCCTGTAAATGATTGCGGGTTTGTACCATTACGTTCACTGATCGACAGGTTTATGTACCGCTAAGCAGCTGTACCATAGAGTCCCCGTAATTCGTAAATTTGATGTACCGTCTGTTGTGTGTAAAGTCATGTTTCTGTACCATTAGTTGTGTGTAATGTCGGTTGATAAGGTATCCGTACCATTGGATGATATGCCCTGAGTACCGTTGGATGATACAGGCTGTGTACCGTCACTTTTTTTCTGTGTACCGCACCTGTCTCATTCGCGTAACATTGAGT